AATACATCTATTTCTCCCTCGTCATCATAACAATATGAAAAAAGTCGATATTTATGAGCCCTATGTAAATTTTCGATGCCAAAAGCTTCATGCGAGCATTAGGAAAATGGCGCAATCTGATTGGTCGAGAGATTCGCCCAGATTCGCCTAATTAGCTGTCCAACCTCCTCTGACTGTGCATGATACATACAGTACATGCAGCTATTTCAATTCAGTTTTAAAGTTTTCCCCGAGCTAAGCGGAAAAGTCGAATACCGGCGGGAAAGGCTTAATAACACAGTACTAAAATGCGGTAGACCCTACAAATAAAGTTATATTTAGCACGCTGCATTCTATTTCTTCAAGACCTCGTTCAAGACTGTCAGCCGCCAGTTGGTCCGTACGCTAGGATTAAACTGCGCTTTAAAACGTTCAAAATAAAGACGAATCCACTGGTATACGGCCGAAAAAGAGAAAACCAATGATACCAAAGTTATCAAGGATCAAACGTACTGCATTTTTTTATAAACAATTTCTAACGCTGAATCGAATGGTGGTATTTTTATCCTTATTGCGCCATTAGGCATACAAAACACTATGAAACGTACTGCGAGTGATTTGTCAACAAATACATACTGCGAGCGATTTCTCAACAATTATAAAACAATACAATTTAACCAATTTCTCCTCAAATTTCGCTTGATTTACAAAGCCCATAAATCGCTAGAATACTGCTGTTTAGTAATACATTCAGGGGCGTAGGAAGCACCTGGAGTTTGGGGGGGCACCGGCTTGTAGGGGCACATTACTATCGGAAAGGGCACCTAAAAAATTTTTCCCGGAAATGTTGTCGACGGGGGGGGGGAGAAATTTCTCCTGAGGAAAATTTTCCGTCGTATCATACCGAAATTTATGTTTGTGACCTAATTTTTAAAAAAAATTTGTAAATTTCCACACAAAAACGGCACCTATTGTTTTAATTTAGTATTTACAGCGACATTAGCTTCTACAAAAGGGGCACTTTACCTCACAAAAAAGGGCACTTTTCAACACAAAAAGGGCACTTTTTATCACAAAAAAGGGCACTTTTAGTCCTTTAAAAAAATTTGGGGGGGCACGTGCCCCCGTGCCCCCCCGCTTCCTACGCCCCTGAATACATTTGACATCCGTGAGTACAATTTCTTACGCTGAATCGAACGGTGGCAGTTTTATCCTTATTGCGCCATTTGGCATTACAAATACAAGGACAAACGTAGCGCGAGTGATTTCTCAACAATAGTATACGTACTGCGAGCGATTAGTCAACATGACAACAATACAATTTCGCTTGATTTTCAAAAGCCATAAATCGCTAGAATACTGGTGTTTTGTAATACACTTCCGTAAGTACAATTTCTTACGCTGAATCGAACGGTGTCGCTTTTTTCTCAAAATATAAAGCAGCGCAGCCAAACGTTTAAACCATAGTATAAACTTGCGATTTCGAAGGTTGCTGTTTCCATGCGAAATTCCTTGTAAAATTGTTCAATTTTCCCGAATTTTCCTTAAAATGCAGCGTTATTTATGGTAATTTGGGTGAAGTTGGCAGGAGCCTTATGGATAATTGGGGGGAAAATTAGGCAGCTCATTAATATTCTATTTTGTGGCTATCAACGACGATCGGAAATCTGACATTCACCATGCGAGCCGAAACCTATACTCGTCTGGGGCGCAGGTGCCCCAGCGAGTAATTAACATACTTTTAGTCATAAGCGTACGGTCAACAAAATCTTTACGCCGGGGGGGGATGGGGGTCAGCCGCTTTTGTACAATGTCTAGTGACCTCCAACAACACAACCCCATTGCAAAATTGTTTTGCCCGGTGGTGAACTAAAAATTGCCCGACTTGGCCATATTTGGTAAATTTAAGGGGGAATTGCAGTTGCAATTCAATATTAATTAAAATCTAAAATAGTGCCTGCCAAAATACAAAAGTGATTATTGTCATGGCGATCAGTACATTTTTCTACATGAGAAAGTACAACAATTATATACTGAAAAATTCATATTGATCAGGTTCATGAATTAATTAATAACTGTTGTTGATTTTCAAATAGAAAAATACACAACTACAGTATCATTATAATATCACCTTACCCAGCAATGCCTTTACAGTTGTGGATGCATCAGTCACCAACTCACCAACTTTTACTTCCTTGGTGAGTCGATCTAGTCACCGCTATACGGTTTCTTTCTCCATGTTGGTGGATACAAGGCCAACGTGTCTCTTGTCCAAAATTTCAACGTCAAGAATATGATTTGTTCTTTCCTCCATGATGAAGTAACAAAGATTCTTGGCATTGAAGCCTGGGGAGTCACATTGACCATCACCACCAACAACAATCTCCTTGTCAGCAAACTCTACAAGAATTTCTTTCCTCATTCCAGACCATCACTCATTTATCTCTGGAATAAGGTATAGTCTTTGAAATCTGTAGTAGGTGGAACTTGACAGGAACTCCAGATTAAAAAAACTTTGCCATCCGCTCAATTTTAGAAAATTGATTGCCAGAGAACATAAGTGAGGTTGCTGCTTGAAGATTGTTGGCATAAATATCATTCACTTGAGGTGAAGAACAGAATCTATATTTATGCCCCTATGAACAAACACTGTTGATAACCACGGTAACACCAATGAAGTGATACTGGATTTGACTTTCAGCTGTGCATCCAGGTGTCTGACATCGCGACTGAAAGATCTGAAGCAGTAAATCAAGGGAGCATACAAATTTTTTTTCTTTTACCATTTTGTATTCCTTCTTCATCGAATACACCTCATCCCCTCTGGTGAATCTGCAATGCGGTCCAAAGGTGCCAGTACACTCAGTGGTGGAATGTGACTGTTGTTGCAGGTTCACGCCATCTGTCACGTGTTCTGCATCTTCTTCAGTTACCATTTCAAAAATGTCATCCTCTAGCCCAACACTTTCATCATCACTAATTTCATTCATGACACTATTAATAAAATATATTTTAGATTTAACACTGCAAAAATTATTGTTGTGGTGCAGTAATTTATACAGAAACATATCTTTAGAGTTAAAACCACTGATTATGACAGATACTCTATTACTACATAGCATTCCTTGAATGGAGATTAAATTAAACATATATAACAACTTACTCAGAGTCACTTTGTCTTGTCATGTCCTCTTGTTCAGCATTCAATTCTTCCAGAATTGACTTTGTAAGGTCATGTAAGCTGTAAAAATATATGTTACGTTAATTTTTGCTGTGTTGGTGTTATGTACTCAGGTGCATATAAAGTTTGTGATGTTACTCGGAATTGAGTCTCAAAATATGACATACCCGAACCAACCTGACCACATAGATCAGTTGGCAGAGCATTGGGCTAGTATTCCACAGGTTGTAGGTTTGATTTCCACTGTGGAAATCAAACCACACACAGGCATATTTTTCAGGCTTGCCCAGTGTGGATATACAATCAGAGTAACATCCCAAACAAACATCATATGTTACCTTAATTATACCATAATAAATGTAACTTCTGAGGGCATTGAACTAAAACATACCTGATATCTTCCTATGAACTGTTGTCATCAGTAATTTCTCCCTCGTCATCGGTAAACATAAATGTATTGCCTTTACACAGGTCAATAGATGAGCTGTATTTAATAAAAATAAGTTTTACTATAAGTATATACATGCAGTACATGTGAGAAACTGATTTCTGTGGGTTTTGGAATAAAACCTATACCAGGTACTGTTGAGCAGAGGGGCAAGAGGAAGGCCATTGCCCCTTCCCCCACTTTTTTCCCTTACCTTAATTATTGCTCTTACTTTATCAACTAGTGCTTTTCTGGCATTTATTTTTATTTCAGCCCCCACCCCCCCCCCCACTTTTTCCTCATGACATGACAAAGCACTGTTGCTATCATGATTGTGTCACTAGTAATGCAACCCTTTGAATTCATGAATTGTCAAATATGGCTATTAAAATACCTTTGATTAAGGGATACATCAGTGTCCACAAATCTTTCAGAGTCCTCTTGACTTCCCAAAATCGGAGACACGGATGGAATGGTCATGGGATAAAAAGGCATGTCCTTTAGGGGAGTTGATATCATTGAACCTAAAAATATATCAATGAATTATAAAATATTAAAGAACGTAAAATAAACATCATTAGGATTGCATTGCATGGCATTAAATAGTAATATTTACATTTATTATATAGTAATTTAAAGCTTCATTGAGTTTACCTTCGGTGTGTTCCTGCTCGTCTGATTCACTTATATATGTCGTTGCAGTCTCAGTTCCCTTGTGATGTTGTCCAGGTTGTTGCTCCCTTAGATATTGGAATAAAATATAAGTTCAGCTGTTTATTATACAATATGTATTTGCAAACGAAAATACGAAATATAATATCCTTACCTTCTGCGATATTCCAATGACAACAAATGGCAAGCGAAGTCGCAATCGCTAGATGCTTCATATCCAGCCTCTGTTATCGCATCTCTCCATGCCTCGAATATTTTCAACGAAAGGTATATTCGCCTGTGTTGACTGTTCCAGCCCTTTTGCGATGATACCGAACCATCGTATTTCCTTTTTCGTCCTGAATTCTCGCGTCTCCCGCCACGCGCTAGCTCCCCAGTAGCAGCCATCTTGGATATGCTAACTTTGAAAACTACAGCCTGTAGTTTTCAAAATTGCTATATGCGCAAAACGTATGCGCAGTAGACGACCCAGCTCCTTTAATTAAGCGAGCGACGGTTTTGTCAACACGGACGTCACATATGCATTGCCGAGAGGAGAGTGGATTAAAAATTATTTTTGCTTAAGTTTGTGTCAATCATCAACACATGTGACATAACATAAGATTTTTGAAGTCTTTTGCTTCCTTACACCACACGAACGCTATGAGGCAAAATGCCGCCAAAATTAGTTCTACCAATTTTCGGGTGACGTCCGTGTTGACAAAAACGTCCCTTGCTTAAGCTATATATATATATATATATATATATATATATATATATATATATATATATATATATATATATATATATATATATATGATGAGCTCCGAACTTTATCAGTACTTGTCATTGGCGTTGATGACTGGGACTGGGGTGGGCACCAAGGAGCTGAAAATGGATGGCTCAGCAAAATTTTATGTGAGATAAAGGTTACTAGGTAAAAGTTAAGGAGTGCATGGGTAGAATAAATTAATCGCCATATTCAAAGGTATTTATTGTGTATTGGGGAAAAGCGACTGATATAGTTGCACTTACTGCATAGCTTTACCATAACATTGCTAAAGATAAATCAAGAAAATATTGCTTTCCCTCCTGCGTTTGTTCCACAAAGTTCCCACTAAACCTAACCATAAAAGTCTAAAAGTTTGGTGTAACGTTAACGATCAAGAGCTCTTTAAAGTATATGAACGTGTTTTTTTACAAGACGTACAAAACTTATAATAGTTTTGTTTGTGGAAACACCACGTAAATTTATTACTGCAAAGCTTTCGATCCGTAAGCCCGGATCTTCATTAGTGCTAATAATATGTGACTTGTTTAATTCACACGCTTTTAAACAAGTCACATATTATTAGCACTGATGAAGATCCGGGCTTACGGATCGAAAGCTTTGCAGTAATACATTTATGTGGTGTTTCCACAAACAACGCTATTATATGTTTTATCGCCATGCAAACATACAAGGAACTTATTACGTACAAAACTATTTTGAAGTCTGCAGGTGTGACGTCATAATTTGCGACATCAAGAACTGTAGACCAGCAACCAATCAAAGCAGAGACTGCATACGAAATGCGTAATATTAATTCTTATTTAATTAACTGTTTTTTTATTTTAGAAATTATTTGTTCGGCCAGCAAACGAGTTAGCTGCACTTCCTCTGAAAACAGTATCCGCGTACATGACGTCATATATGGTCACGTGGTGGGACGCAATGAATGTAATACACGGCCTACAACAAACTGTACTGCTCCAAATGGATTCTGCAAAGTTGCCGAAAAGGTAGAGGGAAGACCGCTTTCAGAATTGTTACGTTCAAACGACACTATATTTCCTCCCCCATGTGGAGGGAAGGATATATACATCATTGTCAATTATTCATGTATGAAGAGCCCCAAACCGTCAGGTAAATTTTTACACTGCGTCCGCGATTGCAGATTATACAGAAAAATGTCGCTGAGTATTTCATGCATGACATCGTGGGCCCAGTCAAGAATTTCCGCACGCTTTTTGTTTTCCTTTACTTCGACTTATAACAAAATAAGGCTCATATTTCCCACTATAAGTCACCTTTTAATAACACCCCCGGATTTCAACCTATAGATTATCCGATCCTGCTGGTAAAATTTTGACAAAAGCTCATCCGTAGGGGGAGGGGAGGTGGGTGCAGATAGTAAATGGAAACAATTTTGGAAAAACACTCCATATTCCTTGAGTCTAGATAGTTACTGTCGGATAGTTACAATCATGAAAATAAACGTGTTGAAAACGTATTCAACCAGCATGATTTTGGAGTCGATGAGAAGAAAATAGTCTTTTCTTGTTGTGGTTGTTCGAGTTGGGAAAATATCGGTATCGATATCGAAAAAAAATGGCAAATATCGAGTAAATATCGTATGGAATGAAAAATCTGGTATCGCCCAGCCCTACTATTTGCAAGCTACCATTTATTGTAATTTTCGCGCGTATTTACAAACCGTTACATGCGATACAATGTACAGCGGACGACCTTATGAAAATAGCCTGGAAAGCAGGCGCGTCGTAGGGCGAAAATATTTATACGAAAATATTACGAAAGATTAATATTGTATTTAAAAGTATTTCAAAACAGTGTTTTAGAATGTTTTAGTGTTTATATGCAAATTAGCAAACCAAAGGAGACAAACACTACCTATTCACCTATTTTACAGACATACAGGTACGCAAGTCTCGAAAAGAATACTGCTGTGCTCCCTTGACCAGGCTTTATAGTACTTAACCAACAACAGAGGGGACATTTTTGGGGACACTCTGTACATATGTGCCTGTGGGTTTATACACACCCCAGGCCCAGGGGTATTCAAAAAAGAAACACTGGTTGCAGTTCAAATGTTGTATTTTGTCACCTGTGGTTTCTTGACATTGTCAAAACAGCACAACTGGTCATGGAAACCATGCTTTCGAAGTATAGGCAATTAGAAACTTAAATAAGAAATAATTTCATCAATATTTGGCCAAGGCAACCTAAAAAAGCATGTGTATTTTATCTTACATTGTCAGAATATCACACTGCCTATAGTTGCCTGACAATTTTACTTTGGTATCAATGAATTGAGTCCGCATCAGTGGTTGAAGTTTAAGCAGATTATTACTTCAAATTAACGTTGAATATCTCTCCTCCGGAGAGCCTCCTTAAGTATTTACAAATAACTTACATGAAGTTTCCAGAATAAAAGTGAGCGCGCGCGGTGTGATGGGAAGATTGAAATGAAGTCGAGGAGGCTCTGCCAGATATTAAATGCGACGAAGTATGGTTTTTGAACCAAACTAGCTGTTTGACCTTTTTTAAACTTGAAAATTGAAATCGACGGAAATGAATCTTCATAATCTGCATGAGTATCGAAGTTCAATAGAGTCATTTTTATAAAGAAATGTTGCAATTAGGAGGATATTTATAATTAGATAGCTCGTCTCCATTGATATTCGTTTGTAATTTCTCAATATTTTTCGATGCAAATGGCAGAAGAAGATATTGGTATTGAATTTACCCCAGGATACTCGAGTACGCCTGAAAATGAAAGTCGAAAACATGTTTTAACACCCTCGATGGTTGATCGAACCGAACTCCAAACGATTATATAGGACGGCATGTTGATTGCATTAACTAGCAGAGGCTCAATTATTTAGCTCTTCCCATCACTCCTTGCGCGCTCAGTTTTTCCTCACTGGAAACTTCATGTAAGCCTCTGCGGAGGGGAGAGACGTTGAATGATATATTCTATATTTGTTCTTATATTTTTACTAAATTAGATATTGAATGATTAATACACTGACTCCACATTTCAAATCAATTTTGTTGTTCTAATTTAAAATTCAACTTCACTATTAAAATAGATTCACTCTACTAAATTAGATTCGCTCTAATAAAGTAGATTCACTCTGCTAAAGTAGATTCACTCTACTAAATTAGATTCACTCTACAGAAAGCTTCATTAAGGTTGCCTTCCAGTTTAACAGAATAACAAATATAAAAGTACTAAAAGTACAAACATCTTTAGTACCAACTACCAACTAAGACATGTCTATATACTTTGTAAAAAGGCTTTATAGTAAGATGGATAGTTGAAAGTTTGAAACCCTCTGGTTGATCAAAGTTAAACATAAATGATAAAATGAACTACTAACTTTCCTTTGAAAGTATGCTTGAGTATAGTAGATCATATTCTGCTTCCGTAATTGGAAAGCAAACTAGAAATTGTGTTGTCATACCATTGTAGCCTGTTCGCAGGCTAATACCATTAGAATAAAATTGTGGACATCCAAATTCTTTTTTATTTTTCACTTTCTGAATATTTACGGTCGGCGGATCCGTAAACCAATGAATAAAAAAAGTCTCGCCTAAATGCATAGATGTTGTCAGGATAACAGGTGTTGCCAATATACATTAGAATGCTGTTTTTAGTGTTTGTAATCCAAGTGAGTATATAATACATTTTAAATTAAGACCTGACCAGGAACAACTGCGAAAAATGCTGCACAAAGTTCTCTGATATAGGAATTGAACCTATGGCCCTGCGATTCCGGTGCAGCGCTCTAACCAACTGAGGTACAAAGGCCAGCTGTTGAGCTGTGACCGTTAGTTCATGTATATACAGTGTTGTATAAAAAAAAACTGAACAGATTTGAAATTACTCTCGTTTTCGCAAAACAGCTATTAGTATCTAGTTTTTTTATGTATGTAGCTTTTTTGGGTACTTATAATGTAGAATAATGAAAAAAATTTCTCGAACTCAAATTTGGTGAACCAATGGGGTATGTCTTTTCCAACAAATTAAAAAAAATAGCTTGCGCACGAAATTTAAAAGCTTTAATCATATTTTGAGTTAATAGATGGAAAATCTGTTGGGTTTTTAATTACTGTACAAAATTTCAGACAATTTGCTTTAGTTTAACTATTCATTTTTTCCTAAAAAATCAGCCTTTCGCATGGTTAATTAACGCATTTGCCTAATTTGCATATTGCTGACATATGCAAATTAGGCAAAAGCATTAATTAAGCATGCAAATAGCTGATTTTTTGGAAAAAATGAAAGTTTGCGTGAATACTTAAAGGGCTTAAACCAAAGCAAATTGTCTGAAATTCTGTACAGTAATTAAAAACCATTTCAAGCTTTGCAAATAAAATAATTATATATTCTTTAAGAATTTTGCTATATATACCCAGGACATACAGTTGGTTTAAAATATTATCCAACTCGTATATCAATTTTATAAATTGTAGATGAAAATATATCTACTAGTCAATTCAAATGCGATATATATTTTGTGCAGTATTTACGAAAGATAATGTACAGATCAATTCGAATCTTTAACATCCCCCCGGCATATCCCGGGAATTTGACTTCAAGTCTTCTCCAGGGAGTAGGGAATTTGACGTTCTAAGTCTTCCATATGGTGGGGCATTTGATAAGGGTGGAGAATTTGAACCGGAAGTCTTAAAATTTTGCCCGTTTTCACGTGCTTCCTGCATGCACTGAAAAGACTTCGCATTGGCAGCAAATACATTTTTCTCAGATTTCGAGGGAAACTGCCTCAATTTTGTGAAAAACTGGCTCAAAGAAACGGGCATGGAAAAGCTATGTGCTTCATTTGAAGGTATGTACTACAAAATTGTGTATAACTGTTAAATTTCCATAAGGTTTCCAAACTTTTTAAGTGAATTTCGCTATCTTGCCGAAAAACATTTCCGTATATTTTGTACTTTTTGTATTTACTGTTTCATAATTTTCATAGGAAGGTGGGGCATTTGAACGCTTAATTTCTTGTTACAGTGGGGCATTTGAAGACATTTTTCTGCACAGGGGGTGGAGAATTTGATCAGTCAAATTTCAAAAAGTTCAAATTTCCGGGGTCGTCCCGGGGGGGGCATGTTGAAGTTTCGAATTGATCGATACATAAGCTCTCATATATGGTTAATCCATGCAAAAACATGCAGACTAGAATTTTAGCAACAACAACATATAATCCATTAAACTTACTGTTGTGTTCTCAATATTGTCAGCTTGTTGTTGAGTATTAAAAGAGCAATCGAGCATTGAGCATTTCATATTCGACGGTTGATCATAATTCATGCATGATTCGGCGTGTTTATCACGCTATGCGGTTCAAAAGTAATTATTCAAACTTGTACAAGTCAATAGTTCCTATATTTCTCATAAAAAGCAGGCACAACTACACAAACAAATGAACTATATAAAGTTACGCTCATTTCAATCGCCATGTTTGATAAAATATTTACATTAAAATGTTGTAAAATGACAATACTTCATGTTATATGATGTGTAATGTATCAAATCATAAACAAACGCCGGCACATGCACAGAAGGGACTTTGTAAAACCAAAATGATATTAAGTATTTTAACTGATAACATTTCTAACACTACATTTGATGACAGCTTAGTTGGACTGTTGATTTGAACAAAGTTACAGAAATACAGGACCAGGATTTAATTCAATATCTCCTGAGAACATCAGTTTCCTGTGACATTGTTCATTGGCAAATATATTGCCTGCTATGTTTTGACTGTTTAAAATACTATACACAACACAAATACACAAATAAACAATGATTGTTTTACAGTATAATGTACGAGTCAAATCCAACCGCGATCAGGCCCACCGGGCAACCCCCGGGGAATTTGACTTTCGGAAAAATAATTGGTCAAATGCCCGCCCAAATAGGCAGAAACCACAGTCAAATTCCCTGCTATAGGGGTAGTCCTGGAATTTTGGTCAAAATTAAATTGAACAAGTATTTCAAGATTAATTAAAAATAATGAAAAATAGGCCAGACAGTTCTTCTTTTTGTTCAACCGGGCATATTGTATCATATATCTATGATTGATATTTGTGATTCAGAAGCAATTTTTAAACTATCGAAAAGACGTAAAATAGAAAACTCCTGAACGCTAGAGTGTATACATATTTTTAGGGAAAACCGCTGACCAAGTTGTTGTCAAGTGGTCAAATGCCCGACGGTGCCGCCAAATGCCCGACGGAGCATGCCAAAACATAAGCCTATTGTGAGCGACATTTGCTCAAACGAGTTTGCGCAGGCGCACTTGCCACTTGGTGTCATTTTACTTGCGTAATCATAATACAATATATTATTGAACCATATGGCGACTGTCTCGAAGCGATGTCGACCAGAGAAAGGCTTTTACAAAATTGTACATTCCAAAAATGAATAAGAACGCTGTTGAACTATCTATATTGTACATAATAAAGTCGTTGTTTATATAAAGTATAAATATCCAAGCCTTAATAGAATAAATAAAGTAAAATAGTTGAATGCTTCTCAACGTTTAGAGCAAAGCTAAACTGGCCCTTGCTTGCAAACACTTACTGGTTTATACTTTATACAAACTTCAAAGAAAGGATTTCTATACGATTGCTCATGTGAGTCACGTCCTTGTTCCTTCTCATTTTTTTCTTCGATAACAAATCCTGTGAGGATCCAGTTCCAAACATATGCTGAAGTCACAATCATATTTGCGCATCATGTCATATAATGAAACGCTCGATGCCCGGGCAGAAATTGCGCCAATTTTTTTTATTTACCCACCAAAATGATCTGAAGAACCCAGCCAGACTTTTACAATCTGCGCGTACATTTGTACTTTGCGCATGGCAAAATGGTACTAAAGCGCTTTAAAAACTATTTGCGGGCTCCGCGGTAGTGATTTTCCTATTAACCCCTTATCAAATTACGCGACTTCAATGCAAATTGCCCTCGGTTTTTACATAGTTAGGAAAAATAAAATGACTCAGGTGAAAGCACAATATCTCAGCAGTATAAATCTGGCCTAAATATACAAAACGAAAAATCGTGATTTTAATAGAAAATTTCCATGTTGAAGCGACACCTGATACCTCCTGAGCAAATGACACCACATGTTTTGCCGTGGTCAAATGCCCGACCGGGCCGTCAAATTCCCGCCTATACGGAGGTAACGTTAGGTCAAATGCCCTGGGTTTGCCCGGGGGGGGGGCTGATCGCGGTTGGATTTGATTCGTACATAAATATATAATAAATATGTGGTATTCGATTACTTACCAGATGAGGATAAGTTTCCATGTTGGTAGATAACTTCGGAGTAATATCGCAAGTAGAATGGCACTTGAAAACAAGACAAAATCAAGATATTTTTGAAGCCAAAATTGGCAAAATGTGAAAATGGCAAAGAATAACACATTAACACGGGTCAAACTACGCCCGTTCGCAGGTTAGATGCGGGCAAAATGTAAACAATGGATGTAAACTGTAAATGGCTATGTGGTAACATACGGTACGGTCACGGCACGTTTGTGACAGCAATATATCTGCTTCGCAGATACAAAAATACATAAATTAAAGTATTAGTATTAAAATTTCACTAGTTTACCCACAGGGTAGTGAATGCTGCCTTGGTATAGCATTGTTCCCAAATCTTTAATATTTTAAAGATTAAGAGTAAGAAATATTTGTAATGAATTTGAATCATCCATAATTTGTACACTTGAATGTGCCGTATGATAACTCGGCGCTCGAAGTTTCGTATCAAAAGAGGAACAACCGAACAGGTACGATGGCTAACAAGAATGAGTGTACTTATCAACTTATCTAACGCGAGGAAAAGATCAAAATGGCAGGTCTGGATGTGATATTTAGTATATAAAATTGTATAGACACTTTGCCTGTGCTATACGGTGCTAGGTTAAAACGGCCCCGCTTCAATAATCGTATGATTCAGACCAGGGGTTAAAGGGCAATGACAATGACATGCAGGTGACATTTAAAATGTGCGAGTGTATGTATAAATCTTTATTAAAATATTAAGAGCAACACCTCACAACAAACGAGCGGGCTTACAATTTGCACTTACTTATCAATAATTATTATACTAATTACTGTATTAGTATTGATATTATTTATTAATAGAGCTAAAATACCATTATTATAATGTTTAATGTAGTTCCTAAGAAGTTAATTTCTAATTTAAAAAATATCATATGAAGTTAAAAAGACATCTATTAACGAACACTCTTTTAAACCTTTCTGTTCGAACTCTCGGTAGTTCATACTCATGTCTGCGATTGCGTAATTCTAATTGACGACTAGGAGGCAGCAAAACTTGCAGGGCATGGTTGGGATCCGTAGTTATATTCTCCCATAAATCTCTGTCTTTATTGTTTAATATATCAACAATCGATACCTGATACATAAGATATCCATACTTATATGCACGTTTTAAAACTTTATCTACTTGACTAAGATACTTAGAATACGACGCACATCCCCAGACCTCTATACCAAAAACTAATATTGATAAAATAAGACTATGGAACAGAAGATCCAGCTCTTTCCTAGAAAACCCGTAGTATTTGCAAATCCGAATAATGTACATTCTGCTACAGGCTTTACTCATTAATTCATCTAGATGCATGTCCCACATGGAAGGATTCTCTTGAAACGTTACACCAAGTATCTTCAACCAACTTTTACGAACAATCATAGGCAGAGGCGCAGGAAGTGGCCGGGTTATCTTGCCGCGAATGACCATCTCCCACGTCTTTTTATAGTTAAGTTTCATGCGATTTGTTTCCGCCCAGTTGATAATATTGTTTGTTTCCATATAAGAGGCGTCACTATCATCTGTGACCTTAATCCCTAGATTTATGTCATCTGCAAATTTAACAATTAAGTTTGAGGCTTGAACAGGACGGATATCATTAATCATTATAGAAAACAGTACTGGACCTAATACTGTTCCTTGAGGAACTCCACGATTTATAGGCAAATATTCTGTTTTAACGCCATCAACAACGACTCGTTGATACCTATTGGTTAGGAAATTGATGATCCAATTGGTAATATAGGGACTAATAGGAAGCTTCTTCAGCTTATTGCATAAAATCTCGTGCGGTACCGTGTACAAAAGCTTTGCTGAAATCAAAAGAGAAGACGCGTACCATACTAGCATTACCATCCAACCATTCCATCCAGGTATGTTGCGCTTTTATTAGGGCCATTGTAGAGCTATAACCTCTTTTATATGCAAACTGATCTTTATGGATGGCATTTTCCATCACCCGGACTAATTCAGTTGTATAGATTGCTCTTTCAAAAAGGCGAACAATTATATTAGTCAACGAAATGGGTCGTAATTGGTTTGATTCTGTCAGAGGAGATTCTTTGGGGACAGGTAAAAGATTTGCTAGTTTCCAACTGTCAGGAACAATGCCCAGTTTGAATGAGCTGTTAAAAATGATGGTTATCACAGGCGCGATATCATATGCATAGGTGTTCCAAAACCAATGTGGTAACTCATCTGGACCCGAGGTGGTTCGTTTCTGATTTAATAGTAGTTTACAAACAGTATGGACGGATAATTCAGGTACTCTTGTTCCACGGGGAATAGGGAGAGGTTGAGGGGTAACATAGTCAGGATCTGTATTAATAGTTTGAAAATGCTCATTCATTACCTTTGGATCAATAATGTGGCTTAATGGTACTTGACTATTACCACGACCAGTTATTTTGTCAACTAATGACCACCATCTCTTAGATCCACAAATTTGGTTCTTATTTTCTTGTTTAACTGCTTTGAGTTGATTGCTCCGAATGAGTTGATTAATCCTTTCTTGTAGGCGTTGACTGCTCTCGTTATCTCTCTTGTTAATGGCATTTTTCCTCAGCTTTAAGAGATGCTTAACTATTGGAGAAAGAAAAGGGGGGTCTCTACTAGATACTCGTGTTTTAATAATTGGGAAACATTCTTCGTATATTGGGCAGATTTTGTTACAAAAGTTGTTGATCATTTCGTTTGGACAAGAACTACCACTGGAGATTGTGTCCCATTGAATGTCCTCCATTTTCCGCAACATTTTTAACTTATTGTGCTCTCTTAAGTCGCGAAACTCTACTGTTTTTCTTATGGCTTTTGCCTTAACCACAGGTTTAAGTAAAACAGCCAGATGGTCAGAGCGTACAAGGCTTTTTATCGTTTTAGCTTTACTCCAGAAGTTGGGGACACATCAAGGATATTTTGGCCACAAGTCGGAAGATTCACAATCTGTACTAACGAATGGTAATTTAGCAATGTCTTTATCGCCAATTGGTTAATGTCACCAGCTATGATTAGTTTCGCGTTGGGCGCTAATGATAATAATCTCTCACA